AGGCCCCAGAACCCGGCTGGAGGGCTGCAGGGAACCCCACCACCGCCGTCTGCAGGCCTTCCCCGCGTACCCCTCGCCGTCTCCCCACTCATCCTCACGTGACCCCAAGGCTGCAGCTCGAGATGGGAGGGGTGGGGGGGGCGCGTCTGAGGCACCTCGGTCTGAGCCACCTGACCGCAAGCCCCGGCTGCTGCTCCCATGGTCAGCATGGACTCTCGCCCCAAGGCGTGAGGAAGAGCCCAACCTGGGGCACCTGGCTGGTGGGGAGACACCCCGCCGGCCAGGCGGACAGACCTCAAGCTCCCCTGGCCGGGTCCAGCCACGGGAGGTGCCTGTGTCCAACTCCACCCTTCCCTCCCACCCAGCCCCACCCGCCAAGGCTGGAGCACCAGGTGCAGGGCAGGCCCCAGCCACGCCCGCTCCCTTCTAGCCCGACATCACCCTCCCTCGCACTCAGCCTGGCCTGTCTCTGCCCCGACCCCACCTGTGGCGTCTGGCCTCCACGGGCACCACGCTGAGGCTCAGGTCTGCCTCCCCGGCCCTCCACCCCAAATGACTCACGTGTCCCCATCTCTGACCCCCCTTCCTTGTCCCCACCCCTTCCGCAAGGCATGTGCTGCTTTACACCTGACTCGTGTCACTGATGGGCCTCCACTTTGAGTGAGTGCCCGTCTTGTAGGAGGTCACGGGCCAGCAGCAGGTCTGCACGAACTGGGCGGGAAGCGACATCAGCACCTTTGGGGAAAGCACTTCCCTCTGCTTCTCTCCTGCTCCTCTTGGTCAGTCAAGGAGGCGGCTCCTTTGGGCGCTATGCTTTCTCCTCCTTTTTTCTTTTGACACTGTCTCCCTCTGTTGCCCAGGCTAGGGTACAGAGGCATAATCACAGCTCACTGCGGCCTCGACCTGGTGGACTCAGGAGATCCTCCTGCCTTGGTTTCCTGAGCAGCTGGGACTCGAGGTGTGCACCACCATGCCCAGCTAACTCTTTTATCTTTTAGTAGAGACAAGGCCTCCATGCTGCTCAAGCTGGCTCAAAATCCTGGGCTCATGCAGTCCTCCCGCCCCAGCCTCCTGAGTAGCTGGTATGACAAGCGTGAGCCACCCCACTGGCTTATGCTTTCTTTAACCTCTTTTCTTGCACTCGTGCCAGAGGGAATGGGTATAAGGTCTAGCAAATCTGGGTGCAGTCTTATCTCAAACTGAGATGACAAGGGGTGGGCGGGTAGCGGGAGTAGCAGCTGGGTAGGGGATGCCAGAGTGCCCAGAGGGCACACCTGCCCAGAGAGGTGCCCAGACTCCTGAAGAGGCTGCAGAGGGCTGGCGCTGGGAGGCCAGGAGAGCAGAAGGTCTGCGACACAGGACTTGAGATGTTTTGGAGAAAGGGAGCATGCTGCCACTCCTGCAAAGACAGCTCTGGCCCAAGCATCCCTCCACAGGCAGGAGGGCTGGGTGGCTGGAGAAATGCCAGCCCTGGGCAGAGGCCACCAGGAGAGACCCCAGCAGGGACCCCAGGAGGAACCTCAGAAAGGACTCCAGAAGGACCCCAGGGAGGCTCTGGGGATACTCCGGGTGCACCTCCGGAGGGATGGTAGCCCATTGGCCTGGCTTCCTCCCAGTTCTGGGGCTCCCAGGACACTCTCTGGACAAGGCTTGGGAGCCCAGACAGGAATCAGGACAAAAGTGTGTGAAGAGCCCTACAGGGCCAGGTGTGGTGGCTCACGCCTGTAATCCCAGCGCTTTGGGAGGCTGAGGTGAGACTCAAAAAGGAGGCCTCTGACGCTCAGTGCTGAGCCCTGAGAGACTGCTGACAACGGCCAGCTCAGGAAGGCGACAGCTCTGGACACTGGACAGCAAGAAAGTCTGCCAGACCTGAGGCACTGGCCTCCTAAAACCTTCTCTCCACCCCAGAGAGCTCGAGTGAGGACTTGGAGGGTGGGACCAGGCAGTGGCTCAGGGGCAGGCCGGCCCCGCGCCCTGAGTCTGCGGGTATTCGGGAAGGCCTCTCCGATCCACGCTAGGGTGAGAGGAGCCCAGGGAGAAGTCCAGCCAGAACCCTGTGGGGAGGACTTATGCTGGGCGGCAGTGCCACCCACTAGGCCAGAAACCTCCCTACACTAACACCCTCTTGCCATCACCCCCTGTTTCTTTTCAGGACTGAAGGGGCTGACCTTTTTTTTTGAGTCGGAGTCTCACTCCATCACCCAGGCTGGAGTGCAGCGGCACACTCACGGTCACAGCAGCCTCGACCTGCTGGACTCAGGGGATCCTTCCGCCTCAGCCTTCTAAGTAGCAGGAAC